GTTTTGAAAGAAGTCTCTTATGTTCATCAAGGCTGCATTTATTTTAACAAATACAGTAGTAATGTTTTTAAATTTTATATTTTCTAGTGTAATTTATTCCTGTAATGGCAAAGCTGAATTTTCAGCATCATTACACATGATACTTTAGAAATTATTCTAGGTTGATTTGAACATCTCTTCTTATTATACAGTGTTGAGACGGTTATGTTGCTTTATATATTTATGGAAACTGATAATTCTGATAACTTAATAAAAGTATTCATTTCTTAGAAAACAACCCTCAAACTTTGTGTTTTTAGTGTATATTATAGAATCAGATATATAAAAGAGATTGCTCATTATATATTGTTAAGACAGTCAGGAGTTTAAAACCGACCCATTTCACAGTTATCAACTGATAGCAATAATCTTAAAATGGTCACATATCATTCTCACTAATTCATTGTGAGACTTATACAATACTTACTTGTGAACTAAAGCATTATAAACAAACATAGCCATCGCTTTTCTTTTTTTTGTGTGTTTTTCTGTAGGAGCGTATGATGGATGAGGGAATGGAGGATGATGAGGGGGACAGCGGGGAGGAAGGTCCCGAAGATCCCATGAATGCCGGCCCTCATCAGCCGGGCTTCCTGGCGGCCGCATGGTCGTTCATTAGCACTTTCTTCACCTCCCTCATCCCTGAGGGACCTGCACACGCTGCCAACTGAACTCTGATGTATCCACATTGTCTGTGGACAGTAGAAAAAAAAGAAAAGAAAATAGACTTAAAAAAATCATAAAATAAAAAAAACAAGTACAACATGGTCTGCCATGTCCTGGCAAGTCTGTAATGCTGCTTCAGTGGTGTTCAAATCCTCTCCCACCCCTTCTCCCTCTTCCCGCCTTCATCAGTAAGTCGGGGTGAGCCTGAGGTTTCATGGATGTGTTGTCCATCCATGTTGTTACAAAAGACTTTTCTTCTCAAGGCTGGTTGATAAACTCATAAGACCATAAGACTTAGTGAATCATGCAGTTACTTTAGTGCATAACTATTTTTCTCTTCCGTGTGTGTAAATAAATAGTAAATATTTACAGATATGAATATATGCATCTCATTGAAACAAGGTGTGTTTTTGAATAAAATCAGGTTTTGGTTTCTAATCGTGATGCGTAGTTGTGATTTCCTTCAGCTGCTCAACTGATACACCACTAGTGGGCGCCACTGATTTAAAAATGCTACATCTACATAAAGATGTGCAAATCTTATGCAAAGATTTTTAAAGATGCTTCCTCCCTGTGATATATTTGTAATTAAAAGTATTTCACAAGCTATTTGGTGCAATTATTTCTACTAAGCGAAGAATTTCTTAGATGTAATATATTTTTTGGATTGTCTGATTCCTGTTATAAGCACGCTTGGATGGCATTGGTATTTGGTGCACATATACGTACAGTATGAATATCTGGATTTTTACATTTTGAAATGACCAGACCCAGTCATATACAGACACTGACTGAGGTGAGATTGAGACAAAGTAGACCATCATGCACTTCAGTGCCCTCAGAAAACCTCTAATCAAATGAAGATGGATTTTGTACGGTTCATTGTAACAACACAATTAATTATGCATGACATAGACATTTATTGGGCTCATTTCACCCGGACTCCACTAAGTAACTGGACAAATCGGGTTATAGTCCCTCTTCCCAAGGTAGGACAACTCTTATCAGGAGAACAGATCTCTGAGGGCTTTGTCTGTCAGACGATGATTTCATCATGACTCCATCCTTGGTTGGATAGACCTACAAATGCAGTTGTTGAAATTATTTCACTTGAATTGAAGTGGATTTCTCCGGGAATACAAAAATAAAAAAAAATGTGATTGATAACTGTATCGACTAGGAGACGGGGGCTAGTCGTCACTGAGGTTGTTCTGGGTAACTATCTAGAAGGTGTTAGTGTTTCCATAGAAGTATTTTTTTTTTTTGTATGTGGATTTCAGAAAATATCTGTGTGACAATATCCCTAGTCTCTAATAAGGCACCAAAAGATTTTTACAACATAGGCTATGTCCCAAGTATTCAAGAAGTGTTTTGTTTGACCCTTGAAATTGAATCTACTATCTAATTATTTATGTTTTTTTCCCAATTAAAATTAAGTGAGACATCTATGAAACTCTTATAACCGGTGTTTAATACATGCAATAAACAACGTGGACTGTATTTTCAGGGATGTGGGTTAACTTTAATTCACTGCAGGCGGTTTTCCATGCATGCCTATATCATTGAAATGTGCTCTTTTTGTCTTGCGTACAAATTAAAGTAACATTGACGGGAGGGGGAAAACACGCAAAATTGAATGAAATTAGATTTAGCTGGCAGTCCTTGCTGTGTAAATTCTTATTCCTTAAAATGGACTCCCTAGTGAACTGTTCCTTCCAATTTCTTTAGCCATACCTCACGCTCTTCAGACTGCCCTTCCTATATCTGTTTAATCCAATCACCCTCTCACTGGATGTTATTTATTTGCTTATTTATTTTTAAAGGATGTAACTGATTTTTATCAGAGGATAGAAGTGCCTTTTCTTCCTGGTGAAACCGTGACTAACGACCTGCTATCGATTAGTTGGTTTGTTCATGATAGCGATGGCTGTGTGATAGAGAGAGGACATCTTTATGTTCAGAGTTATGCTAGAGATACCTTAGACATTTCCTGCCATAGCCTACAGAAAAGGAGGAGCGACGACAGTGAAGATGGAGAGAGAAACAGGCCTGGATTTAGGCTATGTTGTGTTTTGTTTGTTTTATTATGTGACAGCAGTCGTGAGGGGCTGCTGTCTTTTTACTTTCGTTTTGTATTTGTTCATTTTATTATTAAAGTGAATGTGAATGTTCGCCTTTTCCCGCCTCCTTCTTCTCATAACAAAATTTGCTAGGCATGTAGGCTAATAAATGATAATTGGTGTCACCTGTGTGTATGATTAGTCAGAAACGATCAGATAATTGTTGGGGATTTTTAGATTGCAAAACCATTTATTTGAGCTAATCAAATGTGCTGTTAAAAGGATTAGACCATTAAGATTCTGAAATGAAAGAAATTTGGTTGGTTGGTAGCCTACAAATTAATAAATTAATTAATTTACAATGCCAAATAATTTTGCTTTTTTTCTCAAATAATTTTAATTTTGTTATTTGTGTGTGATTTGGAAATAACATTCAGATTTCATATTAAACAGGCCTACTTAACATTAAAGGAATCAATAGGCAAGGCTACATTTTCTAAAGAGACTCGGTCACTTTATGATGAACAGATTGAATTTAGGCTTTTATTCACATAAACATTCATCAACTAGCCTACTCACACAGCAGTTGTGGTAAACGAAACATGTTTGCTTAGTTCACTTTAAAAAAAAATGTGCTGATAATTTACTCACTCATGTCATCATATCCATATCATTCTTTCTACAGTCGAAAAGAAATAAAGGTTTTTGGTTCAGGTCCAAAAGACAGTTTCAGTGCAAACTGCAAATTGTTCAAAGGGCTTTAAACAATTCCAGACGATGAATATTGAAATAACATGTCATTTGGTTCATTCAACGAACGAACTGAACGAATTGACTCGGGAAAAGATTTGTTCATTTTGATGAACGAGTTCGAACAGGAGAGTCACGAACGCGCATCACAGAACAGAGCAAGGCGACCATTTGAGCTTATGAAACTTAAACTTTGTTTTTTTTGTTTTTTTTAAAAAGAGCGATCGTTTCGCTTGATAAGACCCTTATTCATCGTCTGGAATCGTTTGAACGCCATTTGAACAGTTTGCAGGTTGCACTGATACTGTTTTTTGGACCTTGAAGCGTTTGGTTAACGTTACCAGTAAAGTGCATTATATGGAGAAAAATCCTGGAATGTTTTCATCAAAAACCTTAATTTCTTTTCGACTGAACCGAAGAAAGAAAGACATGGACATATTGGATGACATGGGGGTGAGTAAATTATCAACACAAGTTTTTTTTGTTTTTTTTAAAGTGAACTACCCCTTTAACATGCGAGAAGAACCAATGAGGTTCATTCTCGCACGTCAAGCAGGTTCGGTTGAGCTTCTGTTTGTGTACGCTGATCATATAACGTGAATAAAATAGGCTATTAAATTCAGTCTGTTCATATAAATTCATCAGATTTCGATTACTTGTGGACGAAACTCCTCAATTCATATGGATTAGTTCGTTTAATGATCTCTTTATGAATTTTTTGAAGCGTCAAAGTGGTTGTTTAGCTGTCAATGAATGGAGGGACATAAATCTCTCAGATTCCATCAAAAATATTTATTTGTGTTCCGAAGATGAACTAAAGTCATTCGGGTTTTGAACGAAATGAGGCTCAGTAATTGATTAATTTTCATTTTTTTCATTTTCATTTTTGTGTGAACTATCCCTTCAACTGCCTAACGTTAAATGTACAACTCTCGCTGTCTCCAAAAAAATGTATGATCATAAAATAATTAATTCAAATGATTTTATGAATTAATATATGCAGACATTTATGCTGGGATATAGTTCTCTCCCTGATTTACGGAATTACTAGCGTAAATGAAGGAAATTGTACATAATTTGCTCCCTTAGGAGAATATAAGGACTTTGAGAGGAACATAACCTCTTTACAGTTTATAAAACAGAATGAAAATCTATGCAATCATTATGACTTGCATGAGTTTTTGTATTGTTGAATAAAAAGTGTTGAATATAATTCCACATATTTATGTTTGCTATGATGCTTAAATTAATGTTCAATTTAAAAAAATAAACCAGACGTAATTTTAAATTATAGATTATGCACAGGTTAAATTTGTTACTCTTTTCCTCTCTGTTTTTTTAATACTATAAATCAATTCTATGCAAATTTCATAGTGTAAACCTAAAATGATTAATTTCAACATGGTATATGCTGCTTTTGCAATCATTGTATAAGCAATTATAATATAACAAAAATGCAAATGTAAAAATCACACTCTCACGGCATTATTTTTGGGATGATATATATTTCTTTTTGTTTACAAATAACATCTATCATTGCTTCAAATATTACATTAGCCATATCTTTTTCATAGCTGAAATAAATATATTGCACTTAAAAAAAGGCACCAAAACAAAAAATTGTCAGACGTCTTCTTATGAGTAGGATACATCTGACTTAAAAATACACACAAACAAAAAAAGGAAAAAAAAGAGAGAAAACACTTGCTAATATATTGTAACTACATAACTGTTTGTACAGTCAACAAATCAAAGGGCTTGAAAATGGTGCTTTACCTTGAATTTCACATTGAATTTGAATAAAACACCCTGAACCCTAAAACGCACAGAATTTAACTCGTTATTTGCATTGTGTGGCTCTGTTTGGATATTTATGCTCGTCTGTCCTGATTTGGTCAAATTTGAAGGATAAATAAAAGACAGTGCCATCATCATTAACTTCCTCTCTCTCTCACACACACACACACACACACACACACACACACACACACACCAGTTCCTCTTCATCTGGCTATTACGGCTAGTGCTGTTCCTCAGTGATTTGGTTACAGGATGTTGATGAATTGTTGTCGATGTTACTGTACAAATAGGACCACTCCAGCCACAAATCACCCAATTTCCCTCATTCCCCTGGAGAAGACGAGCCTATTATTTAAAAATTAGCCCATTATTTACAGGTGTAGACTTCCTGCAAGCTGGCTGTCGGCAAGCAGCCTTGAGTGGCTGAAGATCAGTATTCGCTCTTCTATCAACCATTTCCAAAACAGAAATATGTGCATTTTCCTCTGGATTTCTTGGTTGCGACTTGTCGCCTCACAGTGGTTCATATCAGTTGCAGTTCACCCTCATTTTAACAGAATTATGTTAATTTATAGTTGTTGTTTTTTTCTCACTGAGAACAGAATAGCAACTTAAATATAAAATACAATTAAATGCCTTTAAGTTTTTAAAGAAGATACTTATCTGGCCAGAAAGATAAAATGTCCAACATTTTTGAGTCCACATAACAATGTTTCCATCCAGTATTGCTGTTTTCAGAAAGCACAGCCCCCTTTAGTGTCGACCATTTGAACAGGAGGGCTGAGTGGTTGGCAGCTCCATGGATATCATATCATATCATTAAGAGGTGATGGATCATGTGGAATGAGAAACAGCAGTTGTCCAGTGTAACATTCAGCGAGTTGCGTTCTCCCTCATTTGGCTCTGAGCGGCGATAAAGGCGTGAGATGAATCGTTACAGGTAGCATAAACACGTCTGCAGAGCAACGCTGAAACCTCCGAGTTCTAAGAATCCGTGTCCGTCGGGCACATTCGTTCACTTTTTCTCCAGCGTAACTGCAGCATGCAGGACGTCCGGGTCGTTTGGTAATGCCCTGTCAGTCAATGTTATTTACATGTGGTTCTTCCTCGCGTGTAAGCGTGTGTGTTTTGCGTGTGTGTAAGGGTGCCGTATGTCTTCGCATGCTGGCGATAGGGAAATCTTATCAGGCTGAAGGGGGCAGGAATCATACGAACGGTGTCATGACTGTGGAAGAATGCCGCAGTCCCTGGATGGCGGCGTAGGGCCCTTGCTGGAAATAGTGGTGGTAGCGTGGCATGTGGAAGGAGGGGAAGGTAGGCCCGCTGCCCTGCATGGAGCCAGCCAGGGCGGACGGGGTGAGAGGCATGCCCAGTCGACTGTAAGGGGGTAGAGAACCCTGGATGTGGTGAGGAAGAGGACTGGCCAGGGACGCCGTGCTGGTTCCAAGGGCAGACAGAGACTGAGGGTGCTGAAAGCCTGAGAAACCAGATGTGGTGGTGACCCAAGAGCTGAGGGAGAGGTTGTCCGATGCAGTGAACGCCGAATCTATACAGGGAAACAATTCAATGCATAATTTGTACCATAAAATGAGCATATTTAGGGCTTAACATAAAAATAAAATGTTTTGCAGCAGTAAAAACCTTTTAATTGGTTAACTGATAGTTTACACTCTTAAAAATAAGGATTCCAAAAGGGTGTTTTTGGAACAATTCCCCCGAAGAACCAGTTTTGGTTCCCCAAAGAAAATTTTAAAATTAAGAAAAAAAAACAAACATTTTAAACATCTAAAAAACATATGTCCACTCTAATGAACATTTTGAGGAATGGAAACGTTCAATGGAACCATCAATGCCGATACAGAGTTTACCATATATATTTTTTTAATGGTTTAAAATTGAGTTATGTCATTTACTTTTTATGGTAAATGGAAGTAAAAACTATGAATTGCCATATCATTTTACACATTATTACATTTTATAATTTTGTTATCAGTGAAGTGTACTAGGCTGTTTTGTGTTACATTATATAATTTAGTTCATGTTTCTTGCATTGTTTTAGTTTAATATATGTAACCCTGCATTGTGCTTTGTGTGAGTGTACCGTATACAACAAACTTATTCATCATAAGTCTTTCTATTTTACCTGTATTTTTATAGTAGTTATCACTACATTGTAAGGCACAGACCACAGATTTTGGTAGTTAACATTATATCGCTTGATATATGGCTATACGATGACATTCTGTAATACAGGAAGCATCGTCACCTTTTTACAGTGAATTCATGGCATGTAAATTTAGCAGGATATATACAGTATATACAATGTACAGGACAGTTACAGGAAGATTTTCTTACTTCTACTGTGTGCCGAGTGTCCATCTTCCCCCAATGTGTCCTCATCACCGGCGTAAGTCCGAATGGGCGACCGGGCGTAAGAGTGCTTGTGGATCAAGCTCTCAACACTTTCCCTACAGCAAAACCAAAAGACAACAGCCCAAAATATATCTCTACATTCACAACCGCTTACACAAAATCATGTGATGTGGTTAAATAGCCTAAATATATAGCATTTTAATTATTTTTTCAAAGCATCACAAAATATCTTCTCATTTATAGGGATCGTTCATCCAAAAATGAACACAAATGAGCACATTTTAAAGAAAGTTTTAACAAAATTGGACCGCATTGACATTAATTGTATGGATAAGAAAGAAAGTCATAGGTTTGGAACAACATGATGAGGGTGAGTAAATTGATGCAACTATTTCTTTAAAACTTATCCGCTCTCTAGGATAAAGTATTTGAGATAAAAAAAAAAAACATTCAGTATCACACTCCTTTTGGCAGCAACAAACAAAATGAGCAAACGTTTATTTACTATCATAACTTTTGAAACCATACATTATGGTGTGAATATGCCAATTGGTACAAATTACACATCTAATTTATCTCTCTGCAGGTTCTGCATTCACTGCATCAGTTCAAACTTGAAAAAATATGTTAACACACAGAGAGAAGTGTGTCTGCTTGCCTTGCAGTAAGTGCATTAGCTCCTGTTAGATTAGACTCCTCAGACAGGCTGAGATGGTCTGCATCACAAGAGCCATGCGTCCACATTAGCCTCCCAATTAGGTTAGGAAAGTGCAATATCTGTCAGCAGCGCAATACAAATATGTGTGTTTTTATCTGCGATGCGCTCCCGAGGAGAGGGGCCTCGCAGCCCTACAACTTGGGTGGCTGTTTTCAATCAGTCACGGGGCCCAATTGAATTACGCTGTGTTTTAGTGCAGTGCCCGACTCCAGACTAATGCGATTTCTGCAGCTCCCTGAAGATCAATTGATCAGATCTAATTCACAGCCCTTCCAAAGAGAAATAGAGAGAGAGAGAGAGAGAGAGAGAGAGAGAAAGAGAGAAGGATGCATTTTTGTGTGGTTTTGTTGGCAGTCGTTGACTTTCGCTTGTTCTTTCGTTGGGGTCTGAAATGGAGCTTGCTGGCAAATGTTTAACTGGAATGCTAATTTGAGAGCACATTGCCGAAATCGGTCATTTCCAGCATTTCTGGCTTTATCAAATTATTTCTGGGTCATTCAATTGCTTTGCCCGTGAATCTTGGGTTAGAAAAGTCATAGTGATAGGGACCACTTTTCTTATGTATTTTCTCGTAGTATTTATATATGTTAATATTGACTTAAAGGGATAGTTCACCCAAAAATGAAAATTCTGTCAGTATTTACTCACCCTCATGTTGTTCCAAACCTCAATGTGTTTATTTGTTCTGCTGAACACAAAGGAAGATATTTGAGATCTGTTTGATTAAAACATTCTTCCAAATATCTTCCTTTGTGTTCAGCAGAACAAATAAACACATAGAGGTTTGGAACAAATTGAGGGTGAGTAAATACTGACAGAATTTTCATTTTTGGGTGAACTATCCCTTTAACTAAAATATATGGAATTTAGAGATTAAATAACACAAATTTTCTAGTGGGTGTTGTATATAAAAATAAATACAATAAAAAGGGGCAACCTACAACTATTACTTTTAGATGCTATCTCCATCTGATATAAACCTTATATTTGTTTTTGGTGGTGTTATTTGACAGCAGATTGGCAAAAAAAAAATTCACTTCCAGTGTTTCTAGCACGTGGGTCATTGTATTGTTTTTGCTTGTGAATCTTAGATCAGAAAAGGAGTGATATGACAAATTAGTGACTTTTTTAGCGCATTTTCTTGTTTTATATACATATATATTAAAAAAACGTAAAAAAAAGTATTTTCGTTATATATAATGAAAATAATATATATATAATTATTTATATATACTTATATATATATATATATATATATATATATATATATAAAATTTCGTTATCATGTATTTTCGTTTTATATATATATATAATGAAAATACATGATAAAATATATATTCACTGGTGGGCAAAAAGTGCATTATTATAGAAATGTAAATAAATAAATAGATATGATTCTGTGATTCAAATTGATGATTTTATTATTGATTAATTTATTACTTTTACCAAATGAGCCAAACTTTTAATTTAAGTTAACTTTTGTATCTTATTTTCTCTTCCCTTCATTGAACCAACTCACCCACACATGTCTAAGTCTAATGAGCGTCTAATGAAAAGCCACTTGTGCACTTGTTAATGAGTTTCGCTGAACGTTCCCCCCACCACACACACACACACACACACACACACACACACACGCTTCACTCCCCAGAGCAGCTGCTCCTCCTGCAATCACTCACTGCACTGAACACAGGTCAGAAATCAACACACGACCAGCAGCAGAATTCCTCATACCTCTCCATATCCGTGAGTCTGGATGAGTCTCTGAAGCCTTTGGCAAAGGGGTTGCTGTCAATCTTCAGTTTGGTTATCTGTAGCGAAAATCGGAAACAACTAAATTAATCCAGCAGATCTTTTCCTCTCCCACATGATGCCATAAGCACTAAATTACACATAAGGCTGGATGGGATGACTGATGTCTTCCAGTAAATTGTTCTGCTAAAAGTGAATCAATTTTAAACTGTTGCCAAGGACTATAATTGACAGCAGAATAAAAAGAGCTAATGGGGGAAATACATATAAAACAACATTTAGCATTCTTGCATAAATACTGCTTTTCTGGTGCCCAAATTGGTAAACTGGTCGATTTGTACTCACCAGCTGGTTCTGGTAAGCAGTGACTGCAGTGAAAACTGTTTCAGTGAAGACGAATGTTCGAAACTCCTCAGACTTTAGGTTAAGAAGTGACGCGGTGTGATCTTTCTTCTTGATGATATGAACTCGGGGTTGGTACTTGTGCATGGAGTTTAAGATGATCTGTTAAAGGAATATGAGAGAAAAGAAAGTTACCTGACTGTATATTATATAATAGAGTGCATTTCAATAAAAGACCAGAACAGTTTAATAAGCAAGAATTGCATGTTGGTAAAGAAATGCATCTAATCAGAGTGTGTGATATAAATACATATAAAAACAATATCATCATTCGCAAAACCTTGGAGAGTGTTATGCATTTAAATATTCATTATAAATATTATATATTTTTATTTTAATGAATTGTATTTTTTATATATTAAACATTATTATATTAATTAATTAAACATTATTATATATTGATTATATATATTGATTAAAAAACACTATTATGCGTATCAAAATGTTGTGTTGTAAACTAATGTTTTTAGATTTTTGACTGGCAAATCTACATCATATATTGAATCATAATATTTAAAAACCTCAATGAGAGATTTGGACATAAAAGGCTAAATCTCTTCTGTTCACTTTACATTTAAAGGCACTATTTAATTAGGCTATATACACAGAATAAAATGTAAAGCCGCATTGCACACTGATTATTTAATTTTTTTTTGACTTACGTGTCCGTGTTGGTCCAGTTCGTTATTTGTAAGCTTCACTTTTTCGAAGGAAACCATCTGTTTCAATAGCTGTTCTCCTGTAAAAGGCGAATCTGGATGCACGTACAACCTGTAAAATAATAACAGAAAAACATCGGTTTTTTTTTGTTGTTTTTTTAATATTCATTATAGGCCTATAGCCTATGAATGTAGTTATATTAATTAAAGGTATATTTAGCCTCACAAAATTCGATTTGCATTTGAATTCATATAAAACAAAAGCTTTTTACGTAAAATAGAAACAGTAGGCCTTCGTGCGAAATTTTAGAGTTAGCTATCCGATGATCCGATCACATTTAAGCGAATTAGCATTAAGCGACCATTAACATAAAAACTGTCTCTAAAAATCATAATTCATAACGAAAAAATCTATTTCGTTATGATTTATTCCCTTTTTCAGCGGCCGTTCACAATTTAATAATTAGAAAGCGAATATTAGCTAGCCACTAATAGGCATAGCTAGGCTATTAGGCTAAATGAATTTAAATTCGGCAGCAAAAGAACGCATAGGCCACACTAAAAAATGTTGGGTTGTTTTAACTCAATTTTGGGTCAAATATATGGACAAACCCAAACGTTAACGATTAAAAATTCAATTTAAAAAATGTAACCCAACGGCTGGGGTTGTCCATATTTGACCCAAAATTGGGTAGGCTAAAACCAAATAAATTTTTAGAGTGTAGGCTAACGTTACATGAAAAGCTTCCTACCTTGCAGGTAACGGTGGATCTGCCTTTCCAGCCACAAGCCATGAGGATCTGTGGTAGGCATATCGATATCTTTTATTGTCCACTGGAACGATGTCCATAAGAACGATATATTTGGCGTCCGGATCAACTCCGGAAAATGACACGCGAATTGTCGGAAACATTCTCCTGTTGAAGCAAATTGAAATAGAATTTACGTGAGTAGGCCTAAACATAGCCTACTTTTTAAAATAATAAACTGGTTCAAATAGCCAAGGCCTATATGTGAAACAGACATGCTAAAAATGAACTGAAGTAGTATATTTTAGATTCTGACAACAGAAATAGGCCTAGGCCTTTAAATAGGCTAATACGAATAGCCTTTAAAAATAATAACCTAAAAGCGAATAATTAAATTCATTTAATAGGCTAAAACAGCATTTTTACCTTCCAGATTTTGTGATAATCATTTCCGTGCCGAGGTCGTGGAATTTGTCCCACAGTTCTTTAGTCTCGAGGCTGCAGGAGATCTTTGCCATCTCCTCGCTGGGCACGCCGGGGGTCGTCGGGATGAGCGGCTCGGTACATAACGGAGCTCCGGTGCCGCTGCCGCTACTGAAGTCCCCGTGGGGTTCCAGCGAGGGCAGGTCGCCGAGGTTTGGGTGGCACGACGACTTTTCCACGAATTGTTCTAGGATTAAAAGACCATAAATTATTAAATCTATAGTGCAAAATGTATTGCAGTTGGTGTTACAAAATATATTAAAGTCTAGGATTGTACAGTTTCTAATAAAAATATTAAATAACCATAGCTACAGGAGCATAAGCACCACCTAATAGAGTTTGCATTATTTGATTTAAAATTGAATAGCCTAGAATATGAACGATATGAAATGTAAAAATAATTGCATAAACACGTAATAACATCGCTATATTCTTTGTAAAACAATATAATGGCCCAATATAAATACAAATTCTGAAATTCTGTGGACTATTTTTTTATTTGCTTATATGCATGGATTTACTTAAGTATTTAAAAAAAAACATTTTAATTAATTTCTCTGAAATTGAATAGGCCTTTTACAGACTAGCCTACAGAAGCATTAGTGCAGTAGACATTTAACACACAAATATTCGTGTTTTTGAATCTTTTATTTAGCGATAGGTCAATTAAGACTTCATTCTTATTTTTATTGTAATGTGTAAAAGTAAAAAAAAACAAAAAAAAACGTATTTATGCGTACGAGGTTCATGCTTCACATATAGCCTAAAAAAATGTAATCTATTGACGTGCCAGTATAACATACAAAACCATTAGTCAGATACAAAATCGAACTTTTTAATTCCATGGTTTTCTTTTCTTTTCTTTTTCTTTTTTTTTTTTTAAAGCTTAGGAACAAAATTACTCCACAAATTGACAGGTCACCAATTTCCTCAGAAGATTTACAATTTTAGAAACCGCAGGAGCACTGACAGGCTGTGTAAATACTCATATAAATAAATAATGTATAGCCTACGTGTTTATTCGACCGATGTACATCGGCTGTCTTTATACAAATAGCCTACTGCTTTATTTTGACAGTGATGTTACCGTGCGCCTCACGTGCAAAACAAAACATGAAACCCTCGAAAACTTTCACTCGTTAAAGAGTCCGATCTTACCCAGCGGCTTGATGGTGTTCTCCTCCGACTCCTTGTCCTTCGATTTCCCACTTGACATGAGTGCGGCTATGGAGAAAGCGTTCGCCCTGGAAGAGAGCTGTGGTTTTGGGGAAGAAGTGTACTCCATGATGCGGGTGCTCAAAACTATTCTCAACTGCACAAATGTCCAGATGAAGCCCCGAAGTTAGGCTACTTTAAATCGCAAGATGATATTTCAGTCAGGATTGAGAAGATTAAACAGGCTGTTACTTCCAAAGCGGCTGGGACATTGTGTGTGTCCTGCTCCAGTCACCTTGTAGTTCTCTTTCACAAGCAAGGTTTTATTGTAAGTGTTGGGACACTTGCAGTCTCCTTAATTTCACTAGCTCCTCCGTCCTGCACAGACACGACCAATCGTTGTGCTGCTTTTAGATCATTGGCTCTTCAACACTCTCCAATGTGAGTTTATTTACAAACCCTACTACGACGAAGGCTCGGGTCATGAATGTTAATTTATTCACGTGGCGTATGGCTTTCTGATTTGCTGAAAGAGTGACGTTTATGAGAGGGCGTCAGTGAGGTGGCGAATCATAACGAATACTTTATTGTGAGGGCGTGGCTTGTCACGCATATTTATTAACTTTTGTGACTGGATGCCTCAAGGTGACCATGCAACGTCATAAATGACGTTATTCATATTCTGGCCGCTATGATTATGATTTCAATGAAAGCATCTCATCATGGGCAGACCCGAGTCGTCAAAATGCGAATTAAACTTCATCACAGATTTATACGTCACATCTGACACATGAAAGGCTGGTTAGCCTGTATTGCAATAGGCATATCGTGTGAGGAATACAGACTAGTATTTGTATCACATAGGCCTACAATTTAGCCTACTTAAAAAAAATCCAGACGTTTTTAAAACGTCAAAATAATTATTTTATTTTAAAGTAAAAAATTCGGCCTATTTTAAGAATTTTAAATTCTCCCATTTATACATAGGTACTGCTTGTAATTGATAAATTAATTTGACCAGAAAACTGTAAAACAAGAGTAAAATAGGCTATATGCTATTACATAGCCTATTATTATTATTATTATTATATTTTCTTTTATTATTTTCGTAGATTCAGTAACATTCTTTAGGCTATCTGATCAGTACAGTTACGTTTCTCTGTTTTTTTTTCTTCGTTATCCTTTTAAACTTTTGATAAGAACAAATCCTGTCTAGACGCAACCTCAAGCCACTGCTCTCCATTGATGCCAAAATTAAGACACAGGCCCTTTGTCAAGTCAAACACTAGGCTATAAGCTTATGGCGATCAGCGATCAAGCTTGGTGAAATGATTACTGCGGATTTGACCTAACACGTTTCCCACAAATAAAGTTGTTTATCGGGTTATGCCAAACCTGAGTTCAATGTAGCGTGATGAGACTTTTAGCCTACACTTCTAATTGGAAAGATTCAATGTTTTTTATTGAATTTTTGCCATATAGGCTATATATATATATATATATATATATATATATATATATATATATATATATATACATATATATATATAGCCTATATAGGCTATATATATATATATATATATATATATATATATATATATATATATATATATAGGCCTATATATATACACACACAGTATATAGTGATATATAGTGATATTATCCTACATTTATTATAATTTCTTGCTAATCCTGTTGTTTATCGGTGTTTCTGTAACTATTAGTCTGTCTGTGTATACAAATACAGGCTATATCGTAAAAGCGCTGACTTTTGTGTTTTTTTTCCGCTTGAGGAATCACCTCATCCTCAATGTCACTCTCTCTGGAGAGACGCAAGAGCCCCAGATCTACAGCGTTTAAACCCATTAAGGCGACACTCAAATGCAAATCCAATGCTGCAGATATATTATAAGGGACCTTGGCTGGAAAAATTAGATTACGCTGCAATTGCCAGCGGATAATGTGCTAAAAGCTTTCCCACTAAGCGTAACTTCTTACTGAATATTATTCACACTTTCGGGGCCGATGTGCCCAGCCGGCCAAAGGCGACTTTTAAAGATACAGAAAACCCCCGTAACATGCCCGTCAGGTGCAGTGTTGCCATGTCCGCATGTTATCAGCGACTTTGGCCAGTCACGACTTTGCTATCGCTTGGCAAAAAATGGCCAATGTAGTTGCCAAATATCCCCATCTACAATATTAATGGATGTAGTTTTCCCTCTTGCATTTTAATAATCTTTTTGAATGTGTGTGTGTTTTACAGGTTATGCTTATAATTATCCTAGTGACTAACTTTGTGTGCTCTATGTTTTTTTTTTTTTTTGCAACTCTCTTATTATGACTTTATCGAACCACTTTGGTTGTTTTCTTGTGAGAACTGGCAACATTTTTTAGCATAGCATTTCATACTGGCAAAACTAGTAGAGGAACGTAAACAGGAACACACCTGACGGATACATTTCGAGGATGGCCTGCAGTTAAACGACTGTTTTAATCATTTCGGTTGGTAGTCTACATCCGACAGGGATCATATAACGGTGAGCCAAATTTTACAATTACCCTACTGTTAGCCTAAATAATGTTAGCTTGATTATTTATACATAGGTCATCCGTCATCGCGTAAACAATGTGGTGAATATGTTGATATTTGGGCTATAATTGAGTCTAAAAGTGTCATTAATTTCATCCCATTAAGCCTATGCCATGTATAGGCCAAATTATTGGCCCAATGAACTTAACGGCTGTTTGTTTTGTTGGACGAGTGTTACAGTGAGTAATGTTTCCCAGTATTATTGCCCAAATACACAGAAAAGGCTTAAGCCTAACCCCATACTCACTCGTAAATCACTCGTATTTTTGTGCTTTCAGATTATTTTAGATGTGGTGTCCATTTTGTCAGTGTTTAGACTATTGTTTTGTGTACAAGTATTGCTTTATGTCCAAAAAATAGGGATCAACGAAATATTTCATTTGTGTTTTTGCATTTCCACATTGGCTTTTTTTTATATAATTATCTCATGAAGTGTGAATTATATTGGCAGCATTAAAATTCCTGATAGGCTTATATTAAGTGGATTCATAGTGGATAAATCCAGAGGCGTGAAATACAACAATCATCATCCTTCATTCAGAGGCCTCAACAGGAAAAGTAAAACATTCGGTCAGCTGTACTAAGTTGCCATGGTTAGTAATGACCTTAAAATTCTGGGGCAGCAAAATAAGTCGTGTTGCATCAGGCTAGTTCTAAGAAAATTAGAGGAGCTTTTTCAGTTTCCCCCTTCGCTTCCAAGTGAAGGCATGCCCTTCCCGAGCTAGCCCGGGCTGACAGGCATGCATAGGCCGAGCCAGTGTCTCCGTTCATATGACTAATTAGACAAGCTTCACGCTGCGCTGTTCTTTTTGATGCTGAGCTCTAGTGCTAATTGCCACGTCCGTCTCGGGGCACATAGAGGTTAAGTTCAAATGCAGCGCCGGCTCGCTGCACTCCTCCACCCCGCCGTCTAAACCGCCCCCTTCCCTCTACCCTTTTTTTGCCCTGACCTGGGCCGGGGCCGGAGCCTGTTGGGGACAGGCTTGGGATCAGGCGGTGTGTGTGCAGGGAGCATAGACTATAGAGGATAAGTGTTCGGAGGAGAAGGAGGGGTAATGTGGAGACGTATCTCAGATTAGGCTCATTAAGAACTGAAAGCGAATGAGGTGTCTTTGCTCAAGCAGGGATAAATCAACCCAGGAAGTTTGAGACTGACCTCTTGCCTTCTCATCGCCTCAGACCCCTCTGTGCTTCCAGCTTGTATCAGGGCCCATCAGAGGGGGAAGGCGGCCCCAAGTAAGAGCGAAAATAGTCATTAGTCTTGTGTGAATGAGTGAGAACTTGTCAGAGTGCTGCTCATAGTTTGGTTTACGCAGGGTGCCAATGATGAATGTGGCTTTGACTTCTTGAGGGTCACCTTTAACACTAGTTGTCTTCTGTTCACACCACATTTACTTTCTACTGACGTGGTCTGGTCATTGTTTTAGTTTTGAGTTATGTTTATTTAAATCAAAGCTAAATCATTTATTAGAGGATGACTCTAATGTCCCAAGTATTTTTCATTTAAAAATGTGGATTTTATTTGTATTCAATTTTCATCTTTCACAATTACCATAATACAGTTCTCATTGTCTACAGTGATTGGCAATTATTTGCTAAAAAAAAAAAAAAGGTTAAATTGAAGTTAACTGATTAAACAATAATAATAATAGCTTATTTTGTTAATGTATGTTTCATTTGTCCATTTTTTAAATTCATTTTACACACAAAATAAACAAATATTATATATTAATAAAGGGATAGATTTTGATCAAATTTTACAAAAGGTTTCTATTTCTATTTCTAGAGCCCTTCTACGAACTTTCTATATTTGAAAGAATCCTGAAAAATATGCATTGTTGTTTGCACAAAAATTTTAAACAACGGTTTTCATCATTGATAATAACAATAAATGTTTCTTGAGCACCAAATCAGCATATTAAAATGATTTCTGAAGGATCATGTGACACTGAAAACTGTAGTAATGATGCTGAAAATTCAGCTTTGCATCACAGTAAATAAATTACATTTAAAAATATATTCAAACATAAAAATAACAGTTGTAATTGTTTTAAATAAAAGTGGTCTTCCACCTGAAAAAGTGTCAGAATCACTGCCATGCACTAACCTAAAGGGTTAGATTAACAAAAAAATAAAAAATCTGTAATCATTTACTTACCCTCAAGTCTTTCCAGCACAGTAAGACTTTCGTTTATCTTCTAAACACAAATTAAGATATTGTAAGTCCTCATGTAGTTAATTTAGCCCCGCCTCCACTCACTCACACCAGCACAGAGATCCACTCGGCCAACTTTGCTGTTTTATTTTGATTACGTTATATCAAACAAACCATGTTTACCATCTCAGTCTGCCTTCTAACAATCATCAGAAATGCTTTGAACAATTCAGAACATCAGTGGAGAAAGGCATATAGTTCATCACAACGTCGTAATTTACAGTACATCGTATACATTATTCACCTGCTAAAAAAAGTTGGAGTAAAAAGCTCAATTCATATAGATAATTTTTTTTATCTCTTTATGAACGTTTGAAGTGGTAGTTGCGTGACAGAAATCTCTGATTTTCACTTATTGGTGAACTAACCCTTCAGCGTAGTTATTAGTTATCACTTTAGTAATAATGCAGGAGTGAACCATCCTATATCTGCCCACAAACGGTGTCCTTCCAGAGAGTGTGATAAAAGCGTTGGCATGGGCAGCCCAGTCTCTCCATGGTCACACCGGTCACAACCTTCAAAGGTCCCCATCAGAGATGTGATTGGATCTCT